TGAAAAAAAAACTCGAACGAAAACCACAAAAACAAAAAATCAGCATATTTTCAATTGCTAATGAAAAAATTAAATACTACCTCGAATGAACTAAAAAGGAGTCTCATTTCATTTTTCAAGAAATTGAGCAAGTCAGCAGAATTGAAAAGTAGAAGAAAACTGCTCACAGAAATTCACTTCAAATAAAAAACCACTGGCTTTTTCGCGCCTTCTGAACTTTTTTGTTAGAGCGTAAATAAGATTCCCATTATCAAGAGATTTTGATCTTGAACCAAGTTTAAAGATTAACTTATTTTTTCAAACGAAAAATTCAAAATTTAATACTCTTTCTTCTTCTGAAAACACAAAATTGATCAATACGACCGAAATAACCGTCGGCACTACGTTCTTTAATACTGAAAAACAAGATCTCCATTTTACACTTAAAGTCACTCGCTTTTTTGGAGCCATCAGTACTTTTTATAAGAGAGCGTAATTTGTTTGATGTAAGGTCGTTGACATCATCAATGCGGAATTTTCCATATCTATAATTGAATTGATCATATGTAATATATTTCGAAGTTAATACTGTCTTATCTATAGTTAAAGAATTCATATTTGATAATATATCTGCAGATATTGCACTTATTTACTGCATACTGAAAAAAAAACACTTGGGCCGCGTCAACCTTAAGATCAGGTGCTACAATTCTTAAGATAAACAGTATTTCGAGCAAAATATTAATATGAGACGAAAAACAAGAGAGCCTTACCGCAACGCTATCTAATATGGTCAACAGGAGTGGTGTTCACAAGAGCTCAATCACGCACAATATTCAATGGGTTACAAAACTACTAACATTGCTGAGCCATCAAAAAGGATGGAAATACAAGAAAAAATTCGATTTGGAGTTGAAACATGCAACGTGTATGTGACACAAAACTCCAAATGGCTATATTGCTGCAAAATGAATTTCTTTTGGGGAGGAAGTTATTCTGGTACCTTTGATTATTTAGATCTTAAATTAAGTTAACAGGTTAAACAAAGGCGAAGCGGAGCTTCGATACAACTTAAAAAGAGCAATGCAAGCTAGCAGACAAGAAAAGAAAGTCACAAGTCGAAAAAATTGAAAACAACTTCAGAAAACCTAAAAAAAACTTTAAAAAAAGGTTATCTTGAACCTTGTTCTGTGTGCGGAAAAGATTGCCAGAAACGCTATTGTCGGATATTGATAAAAATTCAAAAAAAACTAACAAGAACTCGTAGAACCGAAAATATATATCTTTTTTCATGAGACAACTTGAAAAATAATTTATATTCTAAAAACTTGACCATTTTGTACGATCCAAAAGAAGCAATAACATTACGCTTCCCATTAAATTATCCCGAAATAGATCACAAAGCCGCAAAAAACAAAGCCCGAAACAATTTGGGTCTAATAAAATGTTAAGAGGAATAAAAAAAAAAGAAGGAAACACGACATCAAGCTAAGTAAACAGAGAAAACCTTTCTCTTACAAAAAAATCAAGGAGCAGCTGCTTGTGCATGAAAAATTTGCAAACTACTTCAATTGATTGAAATTTTCATCTTAGAATCGATAGGGTAGTTTTTAAGGAAAATCAAAAAGTTTCTAAGAACCTATGGAAAATCAAAAACTTGAACGTCCAAAATCCGTATTTTTTTGCTAAAAGCAGGCCGTAGCCGGTGTAGTTAGGAAGATTCCCGAAAAGTGGTTTCTCAATTAAATACTTAATCTGAAAATTGGCACGTTAACTTTTGAGAAGTAAGAAAACTTCCAAAAAAGGTCAGTTTCAAAACTTTCTCTTGTTTGAAGCCATAACTTTTTCTGACAGAAATTAGACGTAGCAAATTATAAAACTATGCTTCCAACAGCCTATTGTGTCGATTAAACCTATAAAATTAGATTTGGCAGGATAGTTATCGAGAAAAAAAACAAAGAAAACGGTCGACAAATCAGAAAGTTGACAATTCCGAGAGTCATAGCTTGCTTTTAATTTAAAAAAATTAGGCGTAGCCGCTTATGCAGGAGAAATTCATGCAACCTTTAATTTAGAACTAGCGCTTAACGCACCTTCGGTGCTTCGAAATTTTTTGACAACTCATGAAAAACCGCATATATTGGAAACAACATCTGCAAACTTTTAGTGTACTCTGACTGCACCCAATTACAGGGTTGGTAATTTCGAACTTTTAAATTTTTTTAATTTCCCATTTTAAAAGCGTCATTTTGAAAACTTAAAGGGCCTCTGGAGAAATTTGGAAGCCAGATTTGGAACCACTGAGAGTCCCTGAGAGCACCCTACTATAGGGTTTGGAATCCAAAATTTTGTCAGTTTTTTTAAACCAAAGTTTCCCGAAAAAAATGAAAAAAACGTCTTTTCTCGAAAACTAAAAAGATTTGAGCATTCATATTAAAAGGCAAAATTTGAGACGCCTGGGTGTACGCTGACAATAAGGTTGTATCTTCATCAAGTTAGTAGTTTCAAGTTTTTTTGAATTTCTGTGAGAAATTTTGAGAGAATCAAAAAACGTCACAGCTCGGAAAGTAAATCATTTGAGCAGTCGCGTTTCGCAGTCCCATGTGGCAAAATTTGCAACTCTTTAGAGTACATTGACAACACCGAACTATAGAGTTGGTAAATTCAAATTTTAAAAAATAATTAATTTAAACTTTCTGAAAATTTTGAAAAAATCACAAATAACGTCACATCTCGAAAACTACAAAGAATTGAGCAGTGATATTTGGAGGCAAGATTCGCAATCCCTGAGAGTACTATGTCAGGACCTAACTACAGGGTTCGGAATTTCAGATTTTTAAAGAATAATAGTAAATTAAGGTTTCTGAAAATTTTTGAAAAATTCACAAAAAACGTCTTATCTTGAAAACTACAAGGATTTGAATAGTCATATTTGGAGGCAAGATTTGCAACTCCTTAGAGTACTCCGATAGCACCCAACTACAGGGTTGGGAACTTCAAGTTTGGTAAATCATTTTTGTTTTTTGAAATTTCTGAAAATTTTTGAAAGAATCTTAAAAATCGTCTTATCTCGTTAACTAAAATGATTCGGGCATTCAAAATTGGAGGCCAAATTCGCAGCCCTTAATTCGATATTGGGCTGCTTAATGTAACCTCGGTAAAATAACCAGTAAAATCAAATTGGAAAATCAAAAAAAAATTTAACCATTGCAATATACGATATAGCTTAAACATGCAAAAGTAATACGTTGAAAAAACTTAACATGGCGAGATAGTGAAGCCCGCATTTAAATATATAATAGATTAACTCTTTTTTGTTTTAATTTTTATTTCGCGCATATTTTCAGAAATTGCGTTAAAAGTTAATTGTACTGTGTACTCGTGGTCGATCCTAAAACACAAATTTCGCACTTTTCAGTGCTCAAGCTCAACTCGTCAAGTTGTAAATGTCCTGGAGTACTACCCAATAGTCGTTGCCTAAATTTCAATCAGCTAAATATCATATTTTTAATTCCTTTCCTGCTGTTTTACTAGCGTCTGAATTGTTCCCGCAAAAGGGATGGGGCTTCAAGATCGCCATTTTGAGTTCAGTCTTCTGACTTTATGACAGAGCTTCCTTTAAAAAAGCAACACAATTACTTATGCGCAATGAGTGTATTTGTACAATTCTTGCAAATATTCCAAGCAAGACATTTGAAAATCAAACTAGCAAATGAACAAAACTCTCGAAGCGAAAACAACGCCGACAATCTTTGAGCAGACACCAGTTGAGCCGCGAAAATAATTGATTTTGTAAGAACGTTTCAAGTCCCCTGGAAATACCCTGTCGTAACTAGTACCCGTTCATAAGGTATAATTGAATTCTCATTAAATTGAGCAAGTCAGCTGCATAACAGCATCATTATTGATTCAACTGACTTCGCATAACTAGCTGTTAACCCGAAAAGTTTACAATCCGATTTGATAACGCTGGTTAATCGCAAGCTTTCATAATTTTTTCAACTTACTAACTTTAAAAATCAAGCTACCTAATTTCAGAAATTTTTCTGGAACAAAAAAGAACAAACAAAATGCATACAAACCTTAATAATTGAAACAAATTAGTACCAAATCAACATCCTCCCGACCCCCAAGCAGTTTGAGGGGAGGATGTTAACTTGGTTTTAAGCTAGGTTTTTCAGCCAATCAGAATCGAGCATTTTAGACTGGGCGCTTAGAAAAGTTAATCTGAAATGCTGGGGTGGAAGATAACTTGAAGGGCTTGAATAACATCGGACTTATATATCCGGTGCCTAATTTAATCTAAAAACGCACAGCCTATAGGATGACACAAAAACCTTTGAGGGCGAAAAGACACTGATCGATTTGGGAAGACTTATTGCAAATAGCAAAAATCACAAATTAAAAGACAATTAAGCGCAAATTCAGGATTTTACTGCCTGTTTTCAATGTCCCTTTTGACAAACATTTCCTTCGAAATTCAGTAAAATTTTTACATAGACTAAGAGCAAATGATCAGAGCTACCCTCTATGAAACTATCAATATTTGGTCTCAAAGACTTACCAATGTAATCCGGGTCTAAAAATGCCAGTTTTCCTATTTTGCACTAAGTTTTGCAAAACGCGTGAAAAAGTAAGAAACGTCCGAGTTTAGTAAATGTTTCACAATGATTGTTTTCATTTTCTCGCTGAGAATGCTTCACGTCGCATGAACAAATTTTTTACTCTGCTTATTCGAGAAAGAATTCACTACAATGCAAAACTTAAAGCTGATGAGGAAAACTGGCATTTTCAGACCCAGATTACATTGGTAAGTCTTTGAGACCAAATACTGATATTTTCATAGAGGGTAGCTCTGATCATTTGCTCTTAGTCTATGTAAAAATTTTACTGAAATACGAAAAAAATGTTTATCAAAACGGACATTGAAAACAGGCATTTTAGAGAGTAAAAGCTTGAATTTGCGCTTAATTTTGAGAAAACTTTGAGAAAAACTGACTTCACAATAAGACTAAACAAACCTGGTAGAGAGTTAGATTTGAGTAATCGTGAGCACTTGAAATGTAGCTTCCATCGTCTGATACGTCGGATCCTTTCCGTTTCGGATCGGACCCGTGTTCATCATCAACAAACACATTGTGTGCATAAGGGATGTTCGGCTGTCGGCTATTATTTTCTGCAACATCCCCACTAGATCCAGCAGCAGTTTCCTCCATATTTTCGTTATCTCCGTTTATATCTTCGCTGGAGTTTAACCTTCTCATTCCTTTAAAATGCACCTTTTCGACGGGAGTCAGTGGCATTTTCATGCCAAATGGCTATCATTCGACAATCTAAAAATTCACGCTACATTTTGTAAACAAAGTAAAAGGTATTCAGAAGGAAAAAAAGTATCACAGGTTCACAGGTTAACTTCTGATCTGTAGGCATCCCAGGCCTCTGTCGACCAGCTCTTTCTTGGACGTCCATTTCGTCATAGAAAGTGCGACAATCGAACAATCCCTGAACAAGACGATTTTAATATGCTGCATCTACAGCGCTCCTTCAAACAGTACCTACACATGGGACATCTCAGATCTAATCGAACTCCTAAAGTTCCTGAGGCTTACGCAATTTGAACAAAGTGCAATTTTGTGCCAGTCGGTCATATTTGGAAGTTTGACCTTGAGAAAAGCAAGAGCACTTGATTTTGGGGTGAAATTAAGTTTTTCAAAATTTCGAATGGAGCATGTCATGCACGATTTTCTCGCGATAACTGAAAGTCAAAAAGGAGAAGTCAGAACAATCGAGTGACAATCGCGGGAAAGTTGCAAGAAAAATCGGTAGGAAATTGCTATTCGCAATTTCCGTCACAGCAATAACCTAGAGTAGAGCTGTCCCATTCGAAACAGAGACAAGAGTATTCCCACGAACTGGATTGTTGTGATTGGAGTATTATTCTAAACTGGACTAGAGTGAACCTTCGGTGGAAAGGTGGACAGCTAGAGTGTCCCAATGGTTCACGAGAACTGACCTTCTAGAGTACAAACTTGTTCTTGTTATTAAAACTGACAAACATTAAACTCATTTTAGTTACTTTATTGATTCTTGAGTTGCACACCGACTTATTTACTTCCTGATTCTGGAGCGTGCTACAATGTGAGTACTAATTTAAATTTCTAGAGTGTGTTTTATAATTGTTATGTTGAGGTAAGGCGAGTTTTAGGTTGATCCATCTGAAATGGATCAAAGTTCCACTGTCTAATAAAAAGTAACTTAACGGATTGTTCCAACCCGGTTTTTAACGGCGTTCATGTATTTTGGGTATCTAGAGACCTAAGTATGGGGACGTTCCTAATTCTAGAGTGGGGGGGATATTTTAGTAGTAGCCTTTAAGCTGTAACGAGTCGTAGTCTCATGTCACAAACGAACCGAATTGGCTCCGACTGATTTGAGGTACAAAAACACAAGAGATAGTGTCCCTGACTCTTGAGCCAATGGTTATAGGGCCTATTTTTCTTAAGCCTCATGTGTGACTGCAGTAGACGAATGTTACATAGTGTTTTTATGGCGCTCCTGGGTGTTTACGACATCAAGACTACGGAGTCGAACCCACTTGAGACAGCTTCGGGCTGAATGCCCATTCTAGACTACCGGCGGTACGGTTCGACAGGAACGTGCAAACCTTCCGGTTGTACCGTGATAGCTTTTTGAGAAAACTCAAGAAAACTTCCTGGTACGCTCTCCGAACGAGGCTTAGCTAACCGAGTAAAGGGGGGCAACTAGGGGGACAAAAACACGAGCAAAAAGACAAAAAGCGAAACAAAAACCAAAAAAGAATAGAAAAAGGAACAAAAACCATAAAACGAAAAAAGACAGTGACTTTGACACCAGATTAGTTGGATCAAACCTTTATATTAATTAAATAGTATACCCATACTGTTTTACAAGTTCCATCGTTTCGATCAACCTAGTAATTTAATCCAGTAACCTTAATAAAGAGCCCGAGTGTGGGGCGTTGTCAAGGGTTTTCAGATAGCTTGGAACTTAGCTGAACCAATTGGAGACTTGACTGGAAGAGGTGACCAGCCGAGTGGGAAAGCGGTTCAGGAGCACTTGAGCTGAACCAATTGGAGACTTGACTGGAAGAGGTGACCAGCCGAGTGGGAAAGCGGTTCAGGAGCACTTGAGCTGAACCAATAGGAGACTGGACTGGAAGAGGTGACCAGTCGAGTGGGAAAGTAGCCAAGAAGGATTTGGCAGTTCTCGAGTTCTCAAGTTGAGCAGAACGGGTATCGTTGAAATTCACATTACATTATAGGAAATAAGTGTAAAATTGGATAAGCGATATCCCCCGGTTTTGAGAAACGTTTTTACTTGAGCAGGCCTGGAGACAGGTCTACGGTTTTCTTTTGAGAGGTTTAGCACCCGGCGCTTAAGGTGATTTTAGGCTTAAGAAGGGGGGCTAAAAAGGGGGGAGGTTAGAAGGGGGGCTGGTTAAGTTAGAGGTTGGCGGTTGTAAATTGTAAAAAAGAGAGAAATTAGAGTAACTAATTGGTCGACATCGTTGATTTAGTTACATTAGTCATTTACACGCGTTGGTCATAGGAAACGGATATCCAAAATTGGAATTAGGTTAAGGTAGGTACCCTGGTCGGATCGGTAGGGGGAAACGGACATAGACAGTTTTTGTGATACCCCATAAGATCGCTAGCAGGGGGGAAGGAAACGCGTGGCAATTAGGTACCAGACATTTTTTTTTTCGACGAAAGGTAGACATTGGTCACCTTTGAAATTTAGGTGGGCTCATTTTTCAGTTTTTATTACTTTTTCTGGCTTAGAATTTTTGTTGCATTTTGGGGAGGATTTGTGTTTAGTTTTTATACGAACAGGTGATCACAAGATACCTGCGCACAGGTTTTGGTCTCAAGTTGCTTGGAACATTGAAATAGAGGTAACTAAAAAGAAATAAGAAAAAAAGGGGGGTCAGCATTTGGCTTTTAAGAAAGGGTTTTTGGGGAAATTTTACTAGAGCTTGAGTGGTACTACAAGGCACAGTGAATCAAGAAGTCCCCATAACGAAAAAGAGAGAAGTCCCACCGCTCAGACACTTGTCAAACAGCCTTGGGACAGTGCCAAAGAAGTCCAGGGACAGTGTTGGACCAGAACAGTCTTGATACAGTCTTGGGACAGTGGTCTTGGGACAGTGGTCTTGGGACAGGGTCTTGGGACAGTGGTCTTGGGACAGGGTCTTGGGACAGTGGTCTTGGGACAGTGGTCTTGGGACAGGGTCTTGGGACAGTGGTCTTGGGACAGTGGTCTTGGGACAAGGGTCTTGGGACAGTGGTCTTGGGACAAGGGTCTTGGGACAGGGGTCTTGGGACAAGGGTCTTGGGACAGTGGTCTTGGGACAGTAGTCTTGGGACACTAGCCTTGGGATAGTAGTCTTGGGACAGTAGTCTTGGGACACTAGCCTTGGGACAGTAGTCTTGGGACACTAGCCTTGGGACACTAGCCTTGGGACAGTAGTCTTGGGACACTAGCCTTGGGACACTAGTCTTGGGACACTAGCCTTGGGACAGTAGTCTTGGGACACTAGCCTTGGGACACTAGCCTTGGGACAGTAGTCTTGGGACACTAGCCTTGGGACACTAGCCTTGGGACAGTAGTCTTGGGACACTAGCCTTGGGACAGTAGTCTTGGGACACTAGCCTTGGGACAGTAGTCTTGGGACACTAGCCTTGGGACACTGGCCTTGGGACAGTAGTCTTGGGACACTAGCCTTGGGACAGTAGTCTTGGGACACTAGCCTTGGGTCAGGGGTCTTGGGACACTGACGGAGTACTGGGACATTACCGAACAGTCTTGGGTCAGTAAAAGGAAGCCTGGGACGGCACGAAGAAGAGTAGGGACGGTAACTGGAAGTCTTAGGACAGTATAAAAATTGAAGTAAAATTACAACAAGTTGTTTTAAGACAGAATTAAGACAGAACAAGACTAATTGGAACCCGGTACGGTTGGGACCACGAATAAAGAAAGTTACTCGAAGATTTTAGAGAACTGGAACAAGGTTTTTATCACGTTGTATATTTTCTTTTAAGAATTTGTTTCCACAAAAGTTTTTATTCTTAGAATAGAATTGTATATAAAATAATATTGTAAATAAGAGCAATTGTAAATAGAAATAATGAGACGGAGTAGGGTACCGGTGCTTGAAAAAAGGTCAAGTGGATCAAACACGAAATATAACTCGTCGCTGCGTGGAACGACATCAAGAGGCCCAGGCAAAACAAAAAATAACTTTTCAGTTAGCATGGTCAGCACGAGGAGTGGCGCCGAGAGCAAGACGCGAGAAGATGCGAGGGAAAAACAGGTGGAGCCCACAATCGAAATCGACCTAGAGACACCAGACCAGAGCGTAGATGAAGTGGAGAAAAAGACAACGGAATCCACACCGATGCCCCATATGGAAGATCAAAATCCGAAAACCGTGGAGTTTTCGCCGATAAACGCGTTGGAAGACACAACAGGCAATACCCGAGAAACGGTGAAAGATGACTCTCAAGTAAAGAAGACATCTTTTACAGAAAAGTTGGCGATGATGGTCGGAATGAAATCGAAAGACAACACGGCCGAGGAATCACACACTGGAAGAGCACGAACATTTGGGACAGTGAGCACGAAGGCGACAGAAGCCGACCCAAAGGAAGAACAAGCCAGAAAGGAAGCGACAGCCGGAAACAAGACAACGGCTGATCATGAAACAGCCACCCTTGAGCTTGGAGACCTGATGACAAAACTAAATCAGATCAACAAGAAACTGAAGTACAGTGAGGAAGATAGAGACTTAATAAGGAAAGAGTTGAAATACAACAAACACGAGTATCTGGATAGTTATTTTAACCTGGCTAAGGCGACAGACGAGAGACTCCAGCAGATGTCAGACAAGGTAGATGCCACCAATGAAGAACGAGATAAGAACATCAAAAAAGATATGCAACAGTTGAAAAACCGATTTAATGATGTCAACAGCCAATTAGGTAGCCTGGAAAAGAGAATGGACAGAATGAACAGGAATCAGGCCGAAAGTTCGTGTGCAATACAGGCGAAGTTGGATGCAATCTTGAGAAATTCTACCTCACAAGAAAGACCGGCAGCGGATCGCACGCAAGGCACCAGAGTTGACTTTGTGGAACCACAAAGGGGCAAACGGCAATCCACACCGTTGCCCTTAACCCGGGACACGGTGAGCATAGCACCAACAGCTGCTAAAACAATCATGAAGAATGGAACGTCAAGTACAACGACTGGCCCGGGGGACTCAACAGCTAACAGCAACGCAGGTCCGGATGCTATG